CAGTAACAACTGTAGAACAAAACATGTTTGTAGGCTCATTTGCCTTTCAAATATCTCTCAGTTCTTACATGTATCAAATTCTTTTTTTTTTATTTGCCTCTTGAGAGATGCTTTTTCTTAGTGTCTAGTTCAGCAGTGCAGCTGATTTGTCCACTCTAATGGAGTGTTCTCCTTTAAAAATGTGGAGAGAGAATTTTCCAGTGTTCTCTATCTTGTGGAGTTCTGGCAAGAATCTTTTAAACTACCTTCATGTCTAGTCAGGTTTTATTCTAAAACTGGTCATATATCATCATTTACTATTTGGATTATTATGAAGTGGCACTGTCTTTTAAAACAAGACAGAATAGTTAGTTGCCCTTTTACTAGTATTTTATACCCTGAATATGAAATATATTTTGGCTTCCACTTTTGTACCCTTTTTAAATCTGAACTATTATCACAATAACAAGCCATTGTGTGTCATTATCTGCTTGGAAACAATTCTACTATTAATGTCTAGTTGAATTCTGCAATCTGAAGCAGAAGTTTCATGTGTATTCACTGAGCCTGATTCTCTAGGACTCTGAGTTTGGTATAATCACAATAATATGTCATGACAACTTTGCTTAAGGGTATTTTTAAGGGTATATTATGGTAGTTACAAGTAAATAAAATACATTAGGAAAGAATCAGACCTTCCAACTCTCTTTGAAAAACTTTCTTGTATTCCATTTTTTTACAGATATTCTGTCTTCTGCTTACTTTACATACTTGGGTCAATGTTTCAACTTTAAGAGCTACACAGTTCACATTTTTTAAATTAAAGATGAAACTTGCAAGCATTATTCTGTAAAAAAATATAAAAATAAAAATCCATTCTATCAAAGCACATCAAGGTTCACTTATATGTTGCCTATTCTAAGATGGAATTTTGAAAATGTAAATATTTTCCTATTGTGACAAGGGGTGACATTTGAGACACTGAAATGGCCACTGTCACTAGAAGGTTCAAGATCAGTTATTTCCTGATGCCAACAAGGAGAAGTAATGAGGGACCAGATATTTAAATTGCAGACCTATAATTCTGCCATCCTCACTTAAAAGTATGGGGATACTAAAATTCTCTACTTAGAGATAAGATTGCCTGTGGTGCACCTGTTTCCTGGTTAAAGTAGAGGAGGTTTGTATGGCTTTGGGTTACTATGAAGACAAAATGAGTTCTAAAGCCATACAAACCCAAGGTCAGCTAATTTTTTCAGGTAAAAGATCACATCAAGCACAACAATCAATTAATTGCAAAGAAATGTGGGTAGCAGAACAGAGACACAAAGCCTAAACCAGTGTATCTGCAGTAGAGAGAAAGAAAAAAATTTGCTTACAGGTGAAGAGGCATGGGCAAAACCAAGGACTTCATATTCCACTGCAATAACTATCCAAAAAAAAAAAAAAAAAGAAAGGGAAAATGAGCAGCACCTACAGTGTTTAAGAATATTGAGAATTCCAGGGACCAAGAGGATATCTGCCATATGACCTGAACTGTTTCGCAGCCCCTTGATTCAAGTGCTGTGCAGGAAAACAGGCTGCTATATTTGCAATTGAGCTATTAGATCATAAACCAATTCAACTGCAGCTGAATCAAGGGACCAGCTGCAACATGAGCCCCAGAAATATTGATAATATTACAAATGTTACAGTAGAGAAATGTAGCTGAGAGCTGGTGATATTCAGTATATGTACTCTGAGTCTTGTAAGCAAAACCAAGCTGTTAATAAGAAATCTGTGAAACAAGCAACAGTATCTCCTGGAGTCTGTAGCAGCTGACAGGAAGAAATACCGTGCTGAGCAACAGTGTAGCATGAAAAAGAGCAATTTGCTCACCAAGTGCCATCAAAGATACTCCAAACTGAAAGAGGGAGGACAACAGCATCCTGATATGATGGGGATCATCCATTTTTTCCAGCAGCCCTAACAAAACGACTGAAGAAGGAACAGGCATAGCTTCAAAGGAAAGGTGTTACATCTTCTCAAACAAGCACAGTGTGGATCTGCCTCCAGCCAGCAGTGACAACGTTTTTTGGTAAATCAGAGATGGGCATTGGCTCAGAAACACTTCACAGTGAAGAATAACTTTGCTAACATTCAGGAGTGTCTATTTTGTGTTACGTTATCCAGGTTCCTGTCACCTCACAAAGTTTTCTTTGTCCTGTGGTAAGTACCTCTGAAAACGAGTAACTATGGGTGCTTCCAGGAAGCATTACAGTTTACACTGAGCTTAGTATAAGCCAAATGAGGCATTTCCAGTTGCTAAAATCAAAGCCAGATAATAGTTTTATTTTAGAAAATGGAAATGTCAAAGGGAAAGTTATGCAGTGCTATGACATCAAGTTACAGTGACTTCTAAGAAAAGAAAGAACATAAGGCTGAGTGGAGAAAATGTGGTAAGTTTCTCTGCTTTGGACAGCCAATTTCTACGTCCATCCAAATCCTAAAAAAGCTGCCAATAGCAGTATCACCACAAGGCTTAAAAACACCTTAACACTCTGGGCTCAGATCACTTTTCTTTTTAGCGATTTGCATCCACATTCCTGTATCCAGGGTGAGTGTCATCCATGAGGCTGCAAAGCAGCGCTCCTCCAGCTTCTCTTGCTGGATCCCTGGTGAGCTCCATGGGGAAATAAATGCTGATTGAGAAGTATGAGCAGGACTTTAAGTCTCCTGGTTCTCACCTGAGAGAAGGCTGATTTAATTCTCACTCCAGTTTATGTTGTTTGTACATATTGAAATAGTATTGACAGGAAAATAATCTCCTCTTCCCTATTCTTACACCCCAAAATAACTTACAGTTTAGTAGATCAAAAATGAGGATTCAAATTCATTCAGGCAGAGAATGGAACTAGACATGGATCTCCTACATGCTTCAAAATTTACCCAGCCTTTAAGATATTGGAAGAGGAAAGCTTGATGAAAACTGCTCTGGCCCATTTGTGAATCTTATTCTGAAAATACCAAAAAACTATTCAGCAAAGACAAACCAAATCTGTAACTACGTGAGGGAACCAAGTGAAACTGCATCTTTGTTGAATTTAGTGCATGGAAAAGTAATTCACCAAGCATTTATCTAGATTTTTGTTTAAAGGGGACTAAGCATAAATTCTAGACAATTTAATCACTGATATTATAAGGCAGACACATGCTCATAACTTGAAACAGCAATATATTCTCAAGAAGAAGCGAGAGGAGTGTGTTCTATTTTCCAGTAATGAATGTTAATTGAGATCATTTATGGGACAGTAAGGGAAGTGCAAAGAGTATAGTGATTGACAGTAAAAGCCCCATCCAGCCCCAGCACCCACAAAAGCACTGCCACCATGTCAAGCACAGCCCTGCTACTCCTTGCTGGGTCTGGTTCATGACAGCAATGATAAAGACATCAAACGCAATTGCAATATAATGGTCAACAGTGACTCTATTCCCAAAACCAAAGACAGGACAGGGAGCCTTAGTGCTTCAGCTCCTTGTTTGGAGCCACCAAGCAAGATGCCACCAAGAAGAATTAAAGCAGCAACAGCACTGAGGTAAATCCCCCCCCCCCCCCCAAGTACTAACACAGTGACAGACTGGACCAGCACATGTGTTTTCACAGGAGAGAGTGCCCAACAGCGTGAGGGTTGTGGGAAGGTCTGTCCCTCAAGTGGGCTCCAGGCTATGGGTGACACTCAGCAGAACACAGTGGCAGAGGCTGCGTTGCTGGATCTGCTGCACAGGCTGCTGGTGGGCAAGGAGAGAGAGAAGATCTGGGAGGAGATCTCAGTCAGCCCCCCCTGCTTATGGCTGGAAGCCAAGCTGCTGATGCAGGAGCTGAGAAACACGGTTATCGCTTGACAACTTCCAGTGGGGAAAAAATACAGTATGTACTAGCTCCCTCGTCCCGGCACAAGCGTCAGTGTCCTCTGCAGCAATCCCCTTCCTCCTTTGTAGAGGAGCCCATAGCTGGAGAAGGTGTGATTTTATTTCAATAGATTGTACTTGAAGACATGTTGCAAAATTATTTCTCTTGTATGTTTCAGCTTCCATCTATTTCCAAAGGGACTATCTAGATTCTGAACCCAGAACTACCCAAATCATCAATTTAGTGGCTTTTCTTGTTTGTTTGTTCTTCAGTGAAAATGATAGCAGAACAAAGAGGTTCAGACTAGACATTATGTTGCAACTCCCCAAATATGAGATTTTAATAAACAGCAGCAAAACAAAGCAAAACAAAAACAAAAACCACCAAACCAAACCTAAATTTATCTTTAAGTTTCAAATTTAAAGCCAACTTTTTCTAATGTTGGTTGAGAAAGAGTATTCTGAAAAGGCGTCGTTGCAAAATCTGCAAGGACACCAGACCAGACGATTTCTGCTCCGTGCCAACTGAGGCTTTTGTCGATGATCTCGGACCCGTGGGAACGAACCCGGGCTCTGCTCTGACTCTTGCAGGTACAGACGGGAGCAGCGGCGCGCTCGGGAGCCGGGTGAGCAGAAGGAAGCAATCCCCCCCACACACCTAACGGGAAGTTCGCCGGGGTGCGAAGCAGCAAAAGTAAATCGGTTTACTTTTCAGAGAGAAATCTGTGCTTGGCGCCTTTCCCCGCAGCTAAGCGGAGCGGCTCCGTTACGGGTTGCTGAGGAGCAGCGTTTGCGGGGCCGGGCGGGAGGCGTCTCTGGCGGCTGCGGGCTCCAGGCCGACCCGCTCCTCAGGGCGCCCCGTTACCGCCGCTGCCCCCCAGCCGCGGGCGAGCAGCACCGGGACTGCGCTAGCGGGGGGAGCAGGGGACAAAGGCGCGAGGAGGAGGCGAGAGGGGCCCGGCGGGGAGCGGGGATGCGGCAACAGGCCCGAGCGGGGACCAGCGCGAGCAGGTGCGCGGGGCCGGGCGGGGCCGCCGGCGGACAATGGTGCGCGCGGGGCAGGGGCGGGCGCAGGTGCGGGGCGGGGCCGCGGGCGGGGTGTGAGGCGGGGCGGGCCCCGCCGCCAGCCGGGCATCACCGCACCCGCGCCGCGGAGTTGGCCGCGCCGGCAGCCGCGCCCGGAGCCGCTCCCCTGCGGCCTGCGCAGACCCCGTAAGTCCGCCCGTCCTTCGTCCCTCCGTGCGCCGCGGAGCTGGCTCCAGCCGCCCGCTCCCGCGGTGTCATTGCCCGGCGCGCAGCCGGGGCGCCGGGCGGGTCTCGTATCCCGCCCATTGTTCGCGGAGCCCCGGGGCTGGGGGGGGGGGCCGCGGTGGGGCTGAGGTGGGGCGGTCGCGAGCGGCTCCGCGGGCGCTCCCCCGGTGCTCTGGCGGCGGTAAGTGTGTCTCCTCGGGCGCCGGGAGCTCGGTGCCGCTCGGCTGCTGTCGCTGCTAATTCCTCTCCGATGTCCCTACTTTCCGATTATTCTCCCCGCTGGAGGCTCAGCCCTTTCTGCTCAGCGCACTGGCGGAATATTTATTTAATTGTTTTAAATAATGGTATCCCCTCCTCGGTTGTCTCGCAGCAGAAATGGGCATGCTGTGAAAGGTCTCTCTCTGCAGCATTCATGAACCACCTTTGCCAACGAAGGCATGTGCATTCAGAAGAGGGTAAATCGGGGAGGGAGATGGGGCAAATGTGTGCTGACAGCCTGTAGGTGACACAGGATCTTGCGAGCACTCTTTCTTCTTACAAGTCTATGTCCTGGTCACTTTGTTTGCCGCACCTTCCACAGAGGAGTATTTCTTCAGCTGTGGAAAGCAGCAACAATTTAAAATCTTCCCGGTAAAACCTGGTACAGCTGCTAACCCTGAAAGGCTGCTGTGCATCGTGTGGTGCTGGGTGTTAATCTCAGCGGACCCAGCACACCTGACTGCCTCGAATGCTTTTTGTTTGATGGTCCTTGATGGACTTGCTAAGTGCATCAGTCTGCTGAGGCTTAGAGTTTGCTAGCTCCCGGGAGCAATACATTTCGTGAACACCCCTGTCTAATGTGGAGTTTGATTTCAAAGGGAAAATCCATGATACAGAACTGGTGTTGTGATTATGAAAAGTGAAATATAATTTCTTTGAAGAAAGAAGAAATCTTGAAGCAATTCATAAAATGAAATACAAGGTTTTTGCAGGAATAGAATATTTTTGTTATCCATTATCAATTTACCTATTTAATTTCTCTCTGCTATAGTAGCAGTTTGTTTTCATTTTCTGGTTTTATTGCCCTTTCCATAATGATTTTCTATTTATTGAATTCCTTTTCTTTCCTATCACTGTGAATGCTGCCCCTAATCCAATTCTTAACAACATTTGTAACTACAGTTCAGTCTGTGCTCTCATCTTAAGGAAAATAAAAATAGTGTAGGCAGTGTCCTTGCTCCTTTCACAACTTTGAATTTACAGGATTCACGCAGTATTGATCCCTTTATTGTTTGTTGGTGTTCTCTTTCAAATGTTAATGAAACTTGGCCTATTTCTGGCAGGTCTTGATTGAGAACATGAAATAAAAATGCATTGGTTGCCTTTAATGATGATTTTGGCTACTCCCATTGTGTGTTTTCCAATAACAACATGATGCAAGTTGTGTGTACATCTTATCGGGGGGGGGGGCCCCCCCTTCCCCTCCGGTATTTTTAGTCTTCATCAAAATGTTTGGTCATCAGCAAGCCCATTTTTTTTACATAACTCAAATTTGGTTAAATATGGTGCTAAAACACACACAATTACTATGGTTTAATTTTTTTTCCTGCCCTAAGAAAATAAAAGAGGAGTCTTAACTCCTTTTGTGTATAAGGAAAGGTTTAATAGACAGTGGAGAACCAGAGATTTCTTTCTTTTGGAAAAGAACCCTTACCAATGTTTATTGAATTTGCTCATCTGCATAAAGAAAAGAACTCTTGTTTTGTTATCTAGCAGCTGTAGGAAGATTGACAGCTACAAATTGCAAATCTATGAAGGATCTGTCCATGGCACAATTTTTAGTTCATTTAGATCGTTATCTTGCACATCTTGTCATTTGCAAAATTATATAAACAAGATCAGTAAGTTTGTGGGGAAGATACAAATGCAGTGAATATACTGCATAGATTCTGAAGCTGTTTGAGATAATTAGCGGAGCATAGTCTTGCCTCAAATATGACATTAATACAGTTAATTTAAATTTGGATATGAACACAATTGTAAACATTGTGCTCTAGAGAAGAAATACATATTTTGAAACATGCTAGCTCTGTCAGGAGAACATTAAGTGTAATAGTCTTTTTGTTAAGATAAAGAGAGCATCACTGATGTCGTGGTGTGCTTTGCATTTTTAAACAGAACCTAATGAATTACAAACATTCATTACACTACAAGCAATCGCTGAAAATTCTCAGTACCCCAAAAGAGGGAGTTACTTGTATACTCATACTTGCATGTTTTCCCATTATTCTTTCACTGTGAAAAACAGAAATAAAAACCCAAGCTATTGTTCTGAAATGAATTTTCGGTGAGTTCCAAATGGTTTTTTGCTCTGCTTCTATCTTGTAAATTTATGTTTAAATACCTCAGTGTGTTCAGGTTATGGAACTTTTTGGGAAGTGTGGGAAAGCTGCAGGAGGTGCTGGGAGCAGCCTTTGTTGGGTCTTGGAAGTCTTAAGGGCATATAATCTGCTGTGGAAAGTCATGCTTACTGAGTGGCAAAGAAAGAAGGTAGCTGAAGTTTACAAAGGTCAAAAAGAGTGATGTGCTAATTTTAAAGGCCGTCTTGTATAATTATTGCTTATGTTAACATGTCAGGATGTAAAAAAATAAATATTTCTTGGTGTGTGGTTTTATCTAGATTTTTAACAATTAACTTTCTTAAACATGATATTTGTAACACAGTTACTGTTCTTCTAATGCTGTTTTGTTCTCCGTGCCAGTGGAAATGGGCTGTACGAACAGGCCTATGCCAACTTACAACTCTTGAATGCCTCAGTTCATGACTGGTCTTGGCACTGTGCATTGTGCGCTGTTGCTTTCCAGAAACTGATTTCTTTTAAGCATGTGGGTTTCTGGAGCTCAGTTTTGTTTTACCTCCTATCTGTTTCCCATGTGTGCATGGCAGAGGTGATGGTCATGGTCAGCAGACAGGTGATGTGAAGCTCATCCTTCCTGTTTGTGTTGACCACCAGCACTGTAGGTTGGCTTGGGTCAGTATGGAAAAAGCTGGGTAGTTCCTTGCGGTGAGGTGGGTGAATGAGGAGGCTGACGTCCTTTGCTGTTCACCAAGGGTAGGTGCTGAGAGTTTACTACTGAACTCTGCTGCTATTTACAGGTGGTTTAAAGTTATTCTGAATACTGTCTCTTAAGTGTTTATCTTGTGAATTAATTCCTGCTATGGCACTGTATTTTTAAATTAACTCAAACCTAAATGGGTTCAAAATGCAAGAGACCAGTTTTATAAATGGCAGTGTTAATGGCAGATGACAAAATACAGGGGCTGAAGAATACACACCATTTTATCTGTTGGTTACTCGTAATTCCCATACCATACTACAACAACATTGGTTATCCCTGATGCTCCAGGTGATTGTCCTTGAATAAATTGCAGTGGAACTGAAATGGAAATTGCATCAGTGTGCATCTGCAGGAACTCCAGGTCATAAAACAAGTCCTAGGTTTGATCTGAAGTAATCAAGTATTGTTGATTCCCAAGGAAGTGCTTAATGCTCATCTCTTTCTTTCCAGGCAAGAAAGCAGTCAATAAGGATGCCTATTACATGGGGAGTAAAGTTTTAGTGGAGAAAGTCTGTGTCTCAAACTAGGTGGTGGTATGAATGATTTAATTGTGAACTAATGTAAATGGTGTACAGAAAACCAGACAAATCTTCAAAATGTACTTGCAATTCAAAATAAGAGAAAAGAAAGATGCAGTATTTTCAAAGGCTGGTACTTGGTAATGTTTCATGGCTAGAAACAAATATTCTAAAATAGAACTAGGGATTTCTTTTTTTCTGATGGTATAAAACACCTGTTTTTTCCATTGTAAGCTGAAGATCACTTGACTTTATCATGCAATTCAGATGCTTAAGACAAGCTTTCTCTGGTGAGGAAGAGTCATTGTATTTCTTGGTGTATTCTACTCCCGTGGCAGGCCTGCAAACACAGCATGTGCTTGCAATGCTGTTAGCAAAGGAACTGTTCTTTTAGCTCAAGTAGTAAAGATCTCCATTTGGAAGAAAGGTTTTTTTGAGTCCTTTGTTCCAGAGTAGGAGGAGTTCCTACCAGTTTTACAGTAGTATTTTTAAGCAGCTTCAATTATGTATTCTTAACTTTGGTTCACTAATGGGAGCTCACCTTTCAGTCTCTCTGACCTTTTTCAGTGAGGTTAGCTTCTGCTGAATCCACCCTGTCTGTTCTGTTAGGTTGTAATTCCCTTTACAAAGTCAACTTTTGCCTTTCTTTATTCTGTCACTTCTGATTTTGATCATCTTCCCTCAGTTCTCCGAAGTATTTTGTATTCATTAATCCTTACCTTTCCCACTGATATACCACTTCTGTCTCCCTTAGTCTAGCCAAAGAACCCAATTCCTTTTACTCCAACTGCTTCATTTGCTCACTAGCTCGAAGATCTCTTTACACTTACAACTTTTTCTCCCACTTCAAAGCTAGTCATGACAATGTGACAGCACACATTTTCTTTCTCCAGCTGTAGCGTGTATCTGTAAGTCTAGTATTATGTTTCTGAACTTGAATTTTTTTTTATGCCGCTAACACTGTACACGAAGTTGTCCCTGTGAAGGGAGTTCATCTTTGCAAGTAGTTTTACGCTGGAAATTGGTGATCTGTCCATGGTTTTGAAAGCCAGCAGAATCGATGCTTAAGGGCATGCATTGTGTGTGTGAGAGAGATGATCGGCACAATGGTTCTGCTCTGAGACGTACGTGATTGTAATTTTCTTGGTTAAAAAGTTAACTGACAAACTAGGATAGATTCTATTTTTTCCCAGAACAAAAAAGAAGCAGTCTTCTTGAGTCAACGGCCTGTGCCTCTTTCCTTTGCTAGTCTCCCAAGGTTCAGAATTCTCTCTTGAGATCTATTCCCTTCTACAGAGTTACGATTTTTCTACGAACTGTATTAGACGGTTCTTTGTGAGATTA